TCTTCTTCTTCTTCTTCTTCTTCTTCTTCTTCTTCTTCTTCTTCTTCTTCTTTCCAAATGTCTATTTGCCATTGTACCACAGGAGGTCACAGGGACAAAGCAGATAGGAAAAAGAGACTGAAATGGAGCAGCCAGTGCAGCAGGAGGAGCACAGTTTTGAGGTGAGAATCTTCTGATATAAACTGTTTCTGCTTCACTGTATCCATTCATACTGTTTGATCTAATTTTTTATTATGGTAAAATTGACATATAACATATTAATCTCAGATGTACAACATTATGACAGCATTTATATACACAGTATTATAGAATGATCACCACAGTAAGTCTAGTTAATATCAGTCACCATGCATAGTTACCAAGTTTTTTTCTTGTGATGAGAACTTTTAAGATCTACTCTCTTAGCAACTTTGAAATATGGAATACAGTATTATTAACTATAGTTCTTTTCTGATCTGAAAAATTCCTCCTTCCTCTTCCCAAAGCTATCTCTTTCATCCATGCCTTGGGATACTATTTCATTTGAGAACTTGGTCTCATAAGTTTCCCTTCTTTATTTCTACCTTCAACTTTTCCCTCTTCACTGTTTGTCCTACATATAAGCTCAAATGTTTCCTATTTAAAGTACTTTCCTTAACTCACTACATAATCTCTCTTCTCCCTATCAAACCTCTTAAAGGAACAATCTAGTTACTGTTCCCATTTTTTCTTACTAGTTATTGATTTTTAAGCTCTCAAAAACTGACTTTTGCTCCTATTATTTTACTTAAACCACTCTTTCAAATGTCAACCACATCCTAAATTACCAAATCCAATGTCTTTATGTTAGCTGTATCCTTCTTGACTGCACAGCATTGTTGGAATATTTGCTTTCTTAAAATCTTCTCTTTTTGACTTCTGTGCCACTACATCCTTCTGTCTCTCTTCTTTCCTTTCCTGTGCATGTCCAAGAAGAATCCTCTTGCTTTTTCAAAGCCCTTATATGGAAGTACTTTTCAGAGTTTTCTTGTTTGCTTACTTTTCTTCTTGGGAAACCTATGTTGCAAGTTGGCCTCAGCTATCACACTGGATCCATGTGTGCAACTTGGATTTCTCTCATGTGCTCCAGACCGCTTTTACATATCTCAGGGATAGCTTCACTGAGTATCTCATGGTACCTCAGGCTCAGTGTGTTGAATACCAGTTTTATTTTCCTTCCAAGACCATCCATCCTATTATGTTTACCATTTAGTTTATTGACACCACTATCCTCAAGTCATGCCTGCTAATCTTTTTTTTTTTTTTAATTTTTTTTTTTCAACGTTTATTTATTTTTAGGACAGAGAGAGACAGAGCATGAACGGGGGAGGGGCAGAGAGAGAGGGAGACACAGAATCGGAAGCAATGCCTGCTAATCTTTGACTCATCTTTCTCCTCTGCCTAATCTGAAGTAAGGTTTTCCAACTGGGGGGTGTGATCACAGATGAGCCATTTGATAGAATAAAGTGCTAAAACTTCTATTTATAGTTAATTTCCATTAGGAATGATTTTAAAAGACAATTTAGGTGATAAAAACAAACTTTGTTCAACACCTCATGAAGCTCCCTTCACAGAGCTGCAAAATGGGGTGGAAGTCAAGGAATTTTTATTTTATTAAAAAAATTTTTGGGGGGGTGCGCCTGGGCGGCTCAGTCGGTTAAGCGGCCGACTTCGGCTCAGGTCATGATCTCACGGTCTGTGAGTTCGAGCCCCGCGTCAGGCTCTGTGCTGACAGCTCAGAGCCTGGAGCCTGTTTCAGATTCTGTGTCTCCCTCTCTTTGACCCTTCCCCGTTCATGCTCTCTCTCTGTCTCAAAAATAAATAAACATTAAAAAAAAAATTTTTTTTTTTAACGTTTATTCATTTTTGAGAGACAGAGAGACAGAGTGTGAGTGGAGGAGGGGCAGAGAGAGAGGGAGACACAGAATCCAAAGCAGGCTCCAGGCTCTAAGCTGTCAGCACAGACTGTGAGATCATGGCCTGAGCAGAAGTCGGATGCTTAACCGACTGAGCCACCTAGGTGCCCCCGGGAATTTTTATAGGATTAAAAATAAAGAACAAGGAAGAGAGAGAGAAAAAAAAAAGAAACTATCTGATTGGCTGGAGTCACATAGTCAACCTTTTTGGCATGAGAAGAAACAAGGAAATAAGTATACAGCCCAGAGCTAGCTTGCTTTTGGGAATTGGCTTCACTGCATTTCTGGTTAAGTTGGGCATTTAGAGAAACACAATCTAACTTTTGGTTTGTTGTTATGGCACCCCTGAGCAGGAATGGCTCATCTTAAGCCTAGAAAGTTATTTCGACATTCCTAACTACAGTAAAACAGGGTTTTATTACTATTTCATATAAGTACATCAGTACTCTAACTTGGTCTATATGTAGAGTCGTGTCAAGTGCACTTGGAGAGGAATCCTGAGGGGAATGTGGGAATTCACATTTGTGAAGAGATCAACAATGGCTCACTTAATTTTTTTACTTTAAGCATATTGTGCCTATGAACCTAGCAAATGGATTCACAGATTGTATTATCTACTTTCACTTAAACTCAGAAAATAGAAAGTCACATTAAAAATCTCTATGCTGAATGGGAATTAAAGATGATTCTAATTATAAAGGCACTAGTGGTGCACCTGGGTGGCTCAGTTGGTTAAGCAACTGACTTCCTCTCAGGTCATGATCTGTCAGTCTGTGGTTTGAGCCCCACCTCGGGCTCTGTGCTAACAGCTTAGAGCGTGGAGCCTGTTTCAGATTCTGTGTCTCCCTGTCTCTCTCTCTGCCCTTCCCCTGCTTGTGCTCTGTCTCTCTCAAAAATAAGTAAACAAAAAATAAAATAAAATAAAATAAAATAAAATAAAATAAAAGCACTAGCAAACAAGAATATATAGAATGGAATCTTCTATAACTAATACAAACTCTTCATCAGTTATATTACATGGCTTTAATTTATTATATACACACATATGGATATGTCAGATATATATGTAGATTATATATCATCCATGACATTCATAGATATGGACAACTTAAATCTGTAAGAAATCAGAAAAAATCTTGAAGTTATCAATATTGTTTGAAGTGAGAATTTTCATTTGCTCATTGTAAACCATAGAT